TGTTTAAATTGAATGCTTAAACCAATATAATTTATTTGTGAAAAACTGTGCTCATCAACCTTCCTAAGTGCTTCAATACAATTGAGGTTAACTATCCGTATGTATTATTATTATTATGAGTATTTAAAAAAATTTTTAATCAAAACATAAGTTTTTTCTGATTTTATTAGAAATAAAGGAAAAGAACAAAAACAATTGAGAATCAGGAACTGCACTAAATTGAATACAAAAAAGAGTTGTCATCTTATCGCTGTGAAACATCAAAACGAGGGGAACAAACCAACTATTTAAATTGCCAAAAGAGGCGTAATACAGTTGGGCGCGGGCCCTTTTTTACGTTATGTTAATAATATCTATTTTTATTAGTTTAATTTTAAACTTTACATGTTTTGTGATCGCACTGTAAACGGCCAACGGCCAACAACTTTTGCCAAAATATATAGTCCAAGTTCTTTGTGGTATAGCCTATTTGAAATATACCATAAATTTATATTAAGCTGCAATATGACAGCACAATCATCGTCCATGGATTGTTTACATTGAATTACCAATGCCGTATGGTATGGTATAATAGAGAGAGCCCTCTGGCGGGGGCGGGTTCGTATACGGCCACCCCGGCGCTAAAACCCCACATGGAGATCAATGTAGCTTTTATAATGCAATAAACTTTAGAACAACATCAGTGTAGTTACAAACGAAACAGCAAAGAAGCAATTCAATATTAAAATATTTTATGAAAAGTTCTTCAGTAAATTTCGACGACTCATTGGTCTAGTGGTTAGTACCCCTGACTGCGAATCCATGGGTCCCGGGTTCGATCCCCGGCTGAGACGAACATCGATGTGATGAGCATTTGGTGTTGTGCTTAGGTCTTGGGTGTTTAAATATGTATTTATATCCGTTTCCTAGTACCCATAACACAAGTTTCACCAGCTTAGCATGGGACTAGGTCAATTGGTGTGAATTGTCTTTAAAAAAAAAAAAAAAGCTTCATTTTATTTTATTCTAAATATCATTGTAAATTTTTAAGCTTTGGATTTTCTACTACAGGCATTTGCGACTATTGATAATGCAACATAAAACCTCCATACTCAATATCAAGTGCGAGGTGGTCAAACTTGCGAATGAGAACAAACAGTATTACAACAATGCTTTAAATAGAACAAATGCTGTCAGTAATATAAGATTGAAATATAAAATAATATGAATTTACGTCATTTTGATTCTAGTTTTAATGCCCAAATTATAAATTTACATTCTGTAGTACTTGTGAATGTATTATATTCGTTTATATTAACACTTACGACAGCCTTGGCCGTCCGCATATCTGTGTTAAGGTCTTCTCTCAACAATAGGTAACTGAGTTGCTTCCTTTTTGACGTGACTGAATAAGGCAATATAAATTTTAGAAGAAAGTTGTTTTTTTTATTATTATTATAAACAAATGAATGGACATTCTCTCTAAAATAATTTATCACCATAGCAACTGAGCTAGCCCCATATTAAATAACTGAGCTTATCTCGCGTAGTGGAGAGTCACACGTCAGGACGTCATTCACGATTAAAAAGTACCGGGTTCAGATAAGTAATCATACCTAATGGATTAACAAATACATACTAAACAGACGGTCGAGATAATTATTTTCCAATCAGCTCATCGCCAGAACAATAAGCACGCGCCCGCCTCACTTTTGACATAGATTATTATGAACAGTAACTGTTAAAAACGCTCTCTCAGAAAAAGAGGCTGATAAAGGTAGTAGGTACTAGATATTTTAATTTACACGAGGGCAAGAGGCTCACCTGATGTTAAGTGATATATCCTCCCATGGACACAATGCCAGAAGGAGTGAATTTCCGGCCTTTTTAGGAATGGGTAAATAAAGTCTGCTGATATTTTTAGGTCTCTATAAAATTCTCGTGTCACAATGTTCGTTCCCATACTCCTCCGAGACGGCTCGACCAATTCTTATGAAATTTTTTATGCATATTCAGTTGTTGTAATCGGCCACTATATTATATCTTTCAAACCCCTAAGTGATAAGGGGTGTCCACCCAAAATTTTATTTTTTTATGATACAGCATACAAAAAACAAAAACCACTCTACAATCAACCGCTATTTTATTATAGATAGTTATTTTTATTGAACTAAAAAAATGTTTCCTAGAAATAATATGAGTACATGGCAAAACATACGTTTTCCAGGTCAGCTAGTGTTTCTATAAAAACGATAATGATGATTACCAAATGTCGAGTGCCTCTATATTGTCTCTGTCTACATTGTCTACCCAAGTAATTAAATTCCGGTATTACTATACCTATACACACAGCCTAAAATCAAACTGCTTACTCTTCATCTGTGGCACATGTGATTTCACCATGTTATCTCGTGCTATACATCAATAGGCTGTCCGGCATTGTTAGTGACGGGACTGGGATCTATTGTGATTTGTGGCCTAGTGATGTGCCGTAAGGAATGTTCTATACGTAATTACAATTAGCATATTTTATCCCGTAGCAGTTTTCTCTAGATACAATAAAAAAAACTATAAACTGGTTCCAAATACTATTGCGAGGCAATTTGTTTCTATAAATTTGTACTGGTAACTTATTAAGGAGATAAATAATTTTCTGCAAAATGTGTTGCCTAACCTATTAAATATAGTTTTAAATTTTGTAAAAAAAAGTCTTAAAACATCTAGAAAATAGAAAAAAATTTCTTAGAGTCGGGAATAAAAACCGCTAGTTTGCGATGGTAATGTCGCTGTTTTGAAATCAATTCTATTGATAGTACATCACTGGGTATTGTTATCGACAATTTAGGATACAAAGCCCTTGTAACGTAACTAAGTGTTACAAAATACAGGATCGGACATTGACCTTTGATTGCGATCAGAACGGGAATCGCGATCGTTACAAATTTCATTGTTGCCTTCGCTTTGGATAGGTTAGCTTGAGAAATCGACACTGACTTCTAGAAATTTTTAAAACTTTACCGGTTTTTAAAGCACGCATTTATAAAATTATTTTTTTATATTTACCCAGATATATATGTTAATATACCGAGTATAATAAGTCAGTATTTAAAGTTTAATAGCTTAAGAATTTAAATGAAATAACAATGATAGAGACATTACTTAAATGATACAATGCAAACATAATAAATTCAGACACCGAACACCTTGTAAGCATATATCAAAGGATGTCTTCACTAATCTGTCAATTAGCCAGCATTCCTGTGACCTGGTCGGAGTCACCTCGGAATGACTTACTGCTATTGTTGAGTTGAATTTATACGAAATTGCTTGAATGTTGTGATAGTTTCGCAATGGTTTTGTTATATAAATTTCAATGCTTTGAAATATAAATAACTCACCTTTCTACGTTCATAAGGTTATCTATGGAAGAGCTCACAAAACTTTCTTGAGCAAATTTTGAAACTTTTCAAATTGTTATAACGAAATTCCTGGGTACAAAAGTTATCATTATGAAAGAACATAAAAAATATGTATTAACAAAAAACCCTAAATCAAAAAGAATGCATAACCAATAAAAAATCACACACGAGAAAAAAAGAAACATAAGAAATTAATTAGGAAAACCAAGCTAAAGAATTAAAAAAGCATTTAACTATTTGGTACTTTTCACAAATAGTCTAACTTTTATCAGGTCACTCAAAATTGTATTTAAACTTAATGCGATAAAACATTATAAAAATAGTCAAGGCGTTTATTTGGTCTCACGAATTAGAACGAAATGAATAATGGTAAAATATGTGTCACAGAAGTATATACCTGAATATATTTAATAAGTAAATCAAATGTCAAACATGAGAAATGTATTTCAAAACGAAAGGCAGGTTTATAAATTCGCTTCGCAATGTTAAGATTTGCATTACCGAGATTTTCCTTTACAGTCAATGCAATTAGTCATTGTTCTCCAAATAATCGCAAACCCGACTTGAATATCTAATTAAATCACTTTAATTAATTTTAATGAACAATGAATTGTCGCTTTTCTGTCTAAACTTGTGAGGGAGATAATTTATTAGGGTAAAGTATTGAACTTAGATATTATTCTCAGTGTTCGCCGTTAATTTCTTTTTGGAGGTACATATGACACGTCCTCAGACAACGGGTATGGAAAACAGTTTTGCCAGGATACGAACCCAAGATCTTTGTACTATACGCATTTAAAAGCCCTTTATAAGCTTTACTGTAAATGACGCTTACGTTACAGAGCTAGATTTAAAAATATCACAATTTGTGAATCACCCCCCGTTGTGCGGCCTCTCTGATTGGCAGAGTGAGTGACGTCTGCTGTCCTTATTGGTCGATAAGATTTGACAGATAACAGCGGCACATTAAAGAATAGTTAAGTCCCAAAACGGTATTCTAAAAGTAAAAAAGTATTTAAGACTTCATAAATTTGTGACATTCCAAATTTATAGATAAAGATATTCTAAGAAGTCAATTATATACTTATTTATATTATAATTTCGTTTCCGAAACAAACCTTCAATTAGAAATACCTTGTACTACCACAAAACTTGGTTTTTTCTCTTTACTTTATTTTAAATTAAATATTATTTGTTGTTTAGCTCTTTATTGCATTATAAAACCAGTAAAACGATAAAACAAATACATTGTTAACGATATAATCCCTGTTTTTTATTGCCAATAATATTATAAAGAAATTTTTACTTGCTACAGCGATGCTGGCCTAGTTTTCGCTTGCCCAAAACCCTTCCCGGCTGTGCACCAATGGACTTTCGGTCTATATATTCAACACGCGCTCGAACGCTGAAGGAATATGATGAGGAAACCGGCATGCTTTAGACACAAAAAATCCGATGCCGTGTGTCGGTTACCAACGTTACGGTTGATCACCTACTTGTCTATTAATAAATTAATTATCACGAAACGGATACCGAAATCTAAGGCCCATACCCAGAAGGGGCCACTGATGTTTCTTTTTTGTTAAGTTTGTGTCTCTAATAATGAAGTCATTGATTTCAGGTGGACGTTTCTGCTCATTCTCGCCGTGCATCGAGCAGGTCCAGAGAACGTGTGAGGCGCTAACTCAGCATGGTTTCCAGGACATCAGTACCATGGAGGTGCTGCAGACGGAGCTCAAAGTTAGCAGGAGGACAGTGCCTGTGCGGGATTTGACCTTCTTGAAGCAGAAGGTATTTAAAAAAATTAAAACCCAATAGAATTAATTGACGTGATTCAATTGGCATCAAAAAGCGGTATTGTTAAAAGCACCTGACATGGTGAGGTATTTCCACCTGATTCTATGTTAAAAGGCTAATCGTTCTCTGCTCATCATAGATATGGATTATACTTAAGCCTTTGAAAATATACGAGCATAACTTTGCGATTAAAGTATGATTTTCTTATTAAATTTGATCATATTTTAAGATATCTTACCGTTATAAATACAAGCTATATTGGCTGCGTAAATAATGCTCACAACTGACGAGGTTAAAATGTACAGGCAATTAAGCTGTAATAAACACATTTTAATAGTGATTGACATTAAAAGAAAGCTTACTGAAAGCTTGCGTCATACGTCAGTTGCAGCCTCTGACCCGCCGACTGACACATTAAGTTAGCTTACGACCGATGGATCAGCTAACAAGCCGATAATTGACAGACAGTACTGACGACACAAATTAGTGCACAAAGATACTGATCTATGCTGGATTACAGCTCAGGCCAATTACTGAAGGCATTATTTGGTGGAGGCTTTTGCCTGGTTTTTTTATTGGTCATCATTTATCTGGTTATTGTCGAAGTCAACTAGAATCTTCTTTGTATTTTTTTTGACGTTCAAAAGTGCCATTTTAGATGGTCTAATTGAAATAAATGATTTGACTTTGAAAGTCTAGCTGGCTTTCTTTCGTCATTGAAAAATAATATAATTTACGAATTTTTAAAAGTTTTTACTGATGTTCAAATAATGACCCTTATATTCATAGACATAAAGGTTGAAATAAGGTATAGGAGATATCGCCGACGTATCGGTTTGCGTTCAAAATCGTCACGCGCGCCGTTTGTCGCGCGCGGTCACGTTCCCAACGCCGACGGTAGCGAGTAGGGATGGGATGATGGCGATATATTTTACTATAGTAAAGTTATAATTCAACCATAACACTATACTTGATATAAATGTATCTCTTTATAAATTTCTGTTGCAAATTAGTAAAAACATGATAAAGGTCAGTCAGTAAGTGAGTGACAAAATTTAGAAACTTTACTAGTTATAATTCTTAAACTGCTAGTTCAAATTGTATGAAATTGGAAATAGTCTTATAATTTTATTCACAACGAAGTTATAGGGGAATGGAAAATGCCTTGAACTGCTTCGAGAAAAGGATGGTACGGCCGCTTTATTCCTCTACTTAGCGGGTGCACTGCCGTGCCCCCAGATATGTTATGATAATAATATAAAATTGTAGGAATCTTTAGTTTTAAAAGTTTAAAAGTTCGAATTTATTAGAGGTCATTCATTTGGCCGAATCTTTAGTCACAGTAAAACTAGGAACATTAAAAAGAAAAGGATTTATATATAGGGATACTATCTATATATAGAGTGTACCAATGCTTAAAAGGCCGGCAACGTACTTGCGAGCCTTTTGGTAGTGTGAGTGTCTATGGGCCTGTAGCTGAGCTTGCTATCCGTTTGCCCCCTGTTCTATAAAAAGATAAACGTTTATTGCCTAATCTAACTTAAGTATTGTCTTATCTTAACATTATAAAAATCGATAGCCGTCTCCCAACCCTAAACGCTTGCAAGAGCCGTGGGAAAATCGGGAGGTCTTTTTAAAATCTATCTTATAGCCAACAACAGGAGTGCCATATATTAGTAAATTACTAGATTATACTTGAAATTACCACATTAGGGCAGAGGTAACTTTATGGTAGCTTAAATTAGAGTATGTTTCGTGATCTTACCCTATATAGAGTGATTTATGTACTAATTATTAGACGGATATTATATATTTACAGTTATATTACGATTATTGATTATAAATATTTGCTTGGCCGTTTGACACATTTTTAGATAATTTTGTCTTTATGTTAAGTTCTTGCCATTTATAATAATTTATAGTATTTAAAGTTAATAATGTAATTATGTACAAATGAACGATGAGCGAGGGGTTTTGCATTGTAATCAAAACAGTTCCTAGCCCTTTATTATTCATACGAATCAAATATTACAATCGACAGCATTTAAAAATGCATTTGAAGTATTTTCGTATTCCTACTTTTTAAGCCATACGAATGGTCCTGATCGAAGTACACTAACCTTATAAGATGACCCAAAATGCCATTCACATAATTAAAACTTATCTCATGATCTATAAAGTTTCGAATATGATTTATGCCTGCGCCGACGCAGCTGCAAGAACAAAGCACATTCCCACATTTATTGAGATGACTGATTGATGGTAACGTGCTCTATTGTACTTGAGCTAAGCCTTTGAAAGCTGAAAAATGTAACAAAGTTCTGTCGCTTGATAAATGTTTGTTGAAATAGGGTAGATTTATTAAAACACTCGTTCGTATATATTTAACATAAATGCCTCCAGTGTTTAGGTAGGCCTTTGTAATGTATTTTAAAAAAACATTTTTGATTGTGAATTTCATAATGTATGTCCCACAAATTTATAAATAAATAAAAAATATAGTATCAGAGTTGTAAAATTCATACATTGGTTGTTAAAAATATAGCAAAACAGCTCGCTTAAACACTTAAGGGATATAGATAATGTTTACACTCACCTGTTTTATACTATACTAGCAGACCGGCCAAGCTATGCTGTGGCTTAGGTTCAAGTTATATTACATAGTAGTAACCTATTCAAGGGAAACGGTAGGAGAACACCAGTCATGGCGACCACCATGCTTTTTGGCGGTTGTGTCATTAAATTATAGGTTATGTGAAACATTGGTACTTTCAACACAGCGCCATCTGTTAGAATTGTGACTATCAAATATAAAACAAATATTATGCAATAAAATAATAATGCGGGTATAAATTGAGATGTAAGCTATCCTATCTTTTAAGTTGGATCAAACTACACACAGTGTGCAAATTTGATTGATATCGGTTAAGTAGTTTAGTAGTCCATAGCGGACAAACAACGTGACACGTAATTTATATATATTAAGATAAAGCTGGATTTACCACGTTGCATTCTTTCATCGCCTTTTAGTTTTGAAGAGAGTTAGTTTTTAACGTGTTCATCTATATGAACACGTTAAAATATATATATAATATCTATTAAATCCAAAATAAAACTAGTTTAAATCTAAAGGAATGGAATGCTAAATTTATAAAAAGATGTTTAAGAAAGATGTAATTATTTGAAGACATTGTTACCATAACCTATTATATCTCGGTCATACTTATTAAGTGAAACGATTGTGTTATCAAAGAAGATAGTTATATATAGACCCGTCAAAAAATTTCAAAAGCACAGCTCTTAAAACAAAAGAAGTTTGATTTCTATTAAAGAATTCGGATTCAATTTATCTTCCGCTATTCGAAGCGAAATTCCAAACTAATTTGAACTTGATAACACTACCACTACTAATTACTCACCATAAACATGCTAAATTCCATAGATAATCTTAGAAATAATATTGACCAATAGATAATAAGAGAATTCGGACACAATTAATCGGAAAATTCATTATGCGTACTCATAAATCTGTTTTGCTTGAAGGTGAAGTAACCGGTCACATAACGATCGCTAGGGTTGACACCTTTATAACATTTGTCCTGTAAACCCTCCAATAGAGCATGCCTTTTAAAGCTAGATTTTTATTTATTTAACAACTATGTATTTAAATTTACACACTCGCACGGGCGTCAATAACAGGTTCCTACTATGACACTCTGTCCCTGCCAGCTTAACATTGTAAACTAATAATTATAATATTATTGTAATGAATGTCGACGCTTCGGTGGATGGAAATATTGTGACCAATTTATGTTCCATAGTCACATATTCCCTTGTATTTTTTTTTTCTTTAAAAAATGTTCAAACATCTATTCAGCAATAGACGCTTTCTCTTGGTGTCACTGTCTGACTAAGGTTGCTGAAAATCACTCTAAACTTATGTAAATAATGCGTTAAATAACATTTCAAAGTGTAAGTACGAGCTTAAACAGACAATATCCTAACCTACTCTCACGTCGAAACATGAGCGTGTACGTATTCGCACATACTGGCGCACCTTTATGATCTCGAGTAGTATTAGCTTTCTTGAGTACTAGTACTAGTATTGCTTTTAGAGATTCTCTATTACGTCTTATCTAAATGCTTATTACAAAGTTGTTAAAGAAGTTCTAAATGTCCATTTTATGTATAAAAACATTCACTTGTTTTAAAACTATACCTATTATGCCTGTAATTTATCTATCGGCTCAACCCTATACCGGCGCGTGCTCACAACAGATAACATCTTATCATGGATCGAAACGCGATCTGTCGTCAGTCGCTCGCGTGCCCAAACACAGCCACCGCTCAGCTGACCATTCAGGTATTACGTCACTGACCATTGCCATATATCTTTTATATGTGTATGAGATACATATATCCTTAACTAGCAACTGAGTAGAATAAGTAGTTCTTTAGTTAACACGGCGTATAACTTGGGGGACTTGTAACTTTCGGTTACTTAAGAAAGAAAATAATTTATATATTATTCTCGTAATCCTACTTATATTATAAACGCGAAAATTTGTAAGTATGAAGGGATGTATGTCTCTTTCACGTAAAAACTACTGAATGGATTTTAATGAAACTTTACAATAACATATATTATACATCAGAATAACACATAGTCTACACTTTACAAAGATATTGTGTGAATTGTCCAAGATATCAAGTAAGAAATAAATCTACCATATTCGAGCTATTGTGGCGAGCGCTGCCAAACCCACTAGAGTTACACATATGTAATGTATAATGGAAATGTTTACCTTCAATAGTCCTACAAAAAAGCCTGCTACAGTATATATCTATATCTTATGTGTAAGCCAATGTAGTGAACCATAACTACAATAAAAATTGATAATTTATTTCGAATGCACATTTGGTAGTAATAAATTGATTCCTAAATGAAAATAGATACTTTTAACGTTTCTGGTATTTAAAGTAGATAAAATGTCTTTCATGCTAAATCATTTGGACAAATATTATTTTAATCCTGCGCAGACGACGATATAAATTTAAAACGTTTTGATCTTAGCTTCAAATTATCCATCAAACTTCAGGTTTTACAACAACATAAATTGTCAAATGAACCAGCCAAGCAAATTAAAATTGTTAATGTCCCCTTGCGAGGCGAGCTCTGTAATGAGAGCGAGTTAACTTATTGCCGTGTAACTCGAAAATCGTAATTTCAAATCTCAGTGACATCGAGACTGGTCTATCATTTATACTCCTGACTCGATGGGCACGTGGTTCCGTTTGCGAGAACTTTGAGTCAGTTGTAAGCGATGTTTGAACACATTTTCGATAGAAAATATTCTTCTTTAAATTATCTTCCATAAGCATACAATAAAACTCAAGTTGGGCTTTGGTCACTCTGACACATCGCATTGTATGAAGCGTATAGGACGTGCATTAATAAAACTGTTTAATTTTAAGGCAACAATAATAACTAAATTAGTTTAGACAGCAGTTAAATCTAAAAAACTTAAAACAGATTCAATTTTATAGGCTCTATATATTTTATTTAATAATCACAAAAATACAAGTAATTCTATGTACCATTTACAATTCCATATAATATATATTATCCATATAAACACAGACGCCATATTCCTCTTTTATGTATTGCTAATTTCAAAGCGCCATTCTCTAGACAGATTGTCAAAGAACAAAGAGATTTAGGACTGTAACACGATCCAACCATATTGTGACGCAACACTGATCGAGACGGCCATGGCTAAAGGGATGCGCTTGCGCCGTGAAATTACTCGTTACTGCGCGGGAAATTTATGCGCAGCTCCGTTCGAGTTTTAGAACATGTTATGTATAGAAAATATAGTATTGATATGTTACGTATTAATTATAACTTAACACGTGTCTTGTTTTGCTTATAAAGGATATTTCATATAGATAAAATAATTTGCTTTGACTTTTCACTTAAAAATCTTACCTTTTCATAGAAAAAAGTGAAGTACTTTTTCGTCACGTTCTGTCAAATTGTGTTTAAGCTGTGATGAAAAAGGACATATTACATAAAACGTAGACTGATTAATTTTTATGAATAAGAGACTATATTATAATAATTACAATAATAATCTTCCCAAAGATTACATCACTAGACCACAGGTAAAGAACGTACGTAGTTTTGTAAGGTCAGAAAAAGCCGTAATAGTTCTAATTCTAACTTTTAACACAACACATAAACATACTATTAACTTGAATTATTTAAAACAAGTTTGTCACACTTATTAATTCTCAAAGTCGCATATAAAGTGATAAATACAAAATATTCAATTGCTTTTATAGGAGTTAATGAAAGTATTCACAGTTTAATAAAATACTTGTTCATAGTTCCTGGAAAGTAATGTAATAAATATTTATTTGACTTATCCCGGCGTCGACTCTTGTATACACTGACCTTTAGCAGGACTCCAAACCCACCGTTATTACAACCAACATAAATTCGCTACTTGACAAAATAATAGGGGAGTCGATGGGATGCTATTAACGCCCAGTAAGATATATAGACTCGTCTCAATCAGATACCTTAATACGAATGGTCGTAATAGAAACTCTGATGCTAAGATAATTGAATAAGTCCGGGTTCATGCGGAATTAGTACCTTATGATAAGTATTCAAATTACCTACTACTGTGTTGATACTGCACATATATATATTTAGTTAATACATAAATAAAGCAATTTAATTTTTTTAGTACAATTCTCTTTTCGGCCCAAAAAGACGAAGAGACGATAGAAAAGTTATATTTAGTACTTCTGTTAAAATAGTGTAATTAACTGATTTAGTTGTTATGATGAAAATGAATTTTACACTCTGTGAGAAAGAACCTTGTCCAATTTATATCTTAAATTTCATTGATAATAAATAATCCTTCTGGTATTAAGAGTGTACATGGCGCCACACTGCCCGTTTGCCCCCTGTTGTATGATAAAAAATGTATGATGAAACCCCTTTACAAACATTTCAATACTATATAGAAAGATATTCAGTTGAACGCGTTACATAAACATAGTAATAAACAAGCCTACAGATTATAAAACAGCATGTAGAAAATCAATTGAAGCGTAAAAAACAAAATAACAAAAAAAAATACTGAAGACACTGGTTGAAACTAGTACAAAAGCCCTTATAACGGACTTTTAACACCACAAATGAATTATTGAGATGTAAGCTTCGAAATATAAAATCTATTTCACAGCACGCGAACACTATTTTATTCAGTGTTTATTTATTGCGACCAGTAAATGTATATTTTATCGAACCTTCAAGGTAATAATTGTTTGTCGTACATTTATTTCGCCTGTATATTTAATTCTATGACATCTGATATTACAAAAGCCGTCCTAGTTATTTGTTTATTGTGGCAATCAAAGCTATATAATTTTTATTGCTTAACAATAAATCACGTTGAAATTTTAATAGGTGTAGCAAAATATGTTTTTACTGTGGGAGCTTTCTTTTGTATTTTACTATTTCAGCTTTATTAGTTATAGTCAACTTTTTTTCGTATGCTGTTTAAGGTTTGGCTTAGACGGAAACGCTACTTCTGTTATTCTCTCGTCAAAAATTTTAATAACAGACTCGCCTCCTCGGTCGTAATTTCGAACCCCGGCTGTGCTCCAATGGACTTTCCATGTGCGCATTTTAACACTCAGTCTGTGATGTAAAGCATCGCGGGGAAACTGGCATGTCTTGGACCCAAAGTCGATGGCATGTGGAGGCACAGAAGGCCGATCTACTCGCTTATTAGAAAAAACAAATAATCATTAAACAGATACTGAAAACCTTAAATTGTAGCACTGGTAATTTTTTTTTTATAAAACATTTTCAAATGAGCTACAGTACGTGCTTAATAACGACACGAAATGGCCATGTGCCATAAATAATAATTGCTTCTTATAATTTTATACACTTTTTGGCACTGGCCCTGCATTTGTAATAAATATTTTAAAATTAAATCATTTTAATCATTAAAATGGACTTTATTTAATTTTATCAAATCCAAATCATAATACAAAAAAAAAAGTGGGTTAGTCTATCATCATGTTTCTCAGCATGATTGTGCTAAATTATTGGATTGTAACCCGATACCTTACCAACAATATAAAGCTATGTTAGAATAGGTAAATTCACTGATACATAACCTGCGCCAAGATATGGTTGTAAGGCGACGTGTGGACACTTACAGGCTTTGGAGAAATTTAATGCGGACATTGTAGAGTTAAACGTTGCAGAAACATATTACTAACTCCATATTAAATTTTATATACAAATACAATATAGAAAGTAATCCAGTGTTATCTTCTTATATTAGTCAAAGAAAATAGTAGATTTTATTTAAACGTTTATTCGACTGTTTTGTTAATTATGCAAAACTGGTTGAATGAAGTTCCTTCTCCGGATTATTCGTGTGTGGATTTGAGCAATATTTAATTATAACGCATTGAAATAAATAAAACTTGTATATTGTATATTTGTTATCCATATTAATGTTCTGTGCGTGTGTTTTATAATTTTGATGTATTTTTTTGTGTATAACGTGGATTCGAGAAAGGTTTTGATTGACAATAAGATGTGTTTTTTTTTGTATTCAATACGTGTACGCTAGTTTCTATTTAAATTTTAAATTATATTATTAAAATTAATTATTACTAAAAGCACCCAAGTTTGCGAAACTCCTAGTCACGTTCGATCACAATACGTATGATCCGGATTCAGCATGTTACTATTTCGCAACGCGTAGCCCTTAATGGCTAAATATATATTGAATTCGTGCATCATTTGGCACGTTTGTTTATTTATGCCACTGCTTAGTGAGCGGTTATAGTCAATTTAGCGATCAGATTGCCACGCCGGTGAAATATGGGTAACGCGATGCATATTGTTTCGTTCTTGATGATTTATTTTAGTAACTAGAGCCAATTAAAGAGTTCAAAAAATATAATAATAGTATATGTTTTACGTATATATGTAGTTCTTTCAGTATAAAATTCTATGAAGTGAGGAGGAGGATCGATCGAACGACTGGGCTTGGCCAGCGATGTGTACAATAATCATATTAGGGCAATTCATGTGATCCTAATCCTTGGGATTGATTTGCTCCATTTGAAACAATTTGTATGACAATACTTGGCGATTAAAAAGAGTGGCGGAAAGTTTCTTGCCAGTTCTTCTTACCCGCTCTACGCCCTTGACTTGCGAACTGGTAGTAAATGTAAATTTACAATTAATTTAACAATTCATAAGTGTACTTGTTTACCTACATGAATCAAGATATTTTGAGTTTGAGTTTGAATATTATATTTAGATTTTATGTTGTATTAACTTACCCTATAGAATGGGGGAAAACGTGAGCTACATATTTTTATATTAATTTTTCCTTCTGCGAATAGACACTAAAACCTTTTTTATAATTTCTAGTGTTAGTTGAACATTTTTGATGTTTCTGTGATCCTGATAAATTTCTAGAGAAACTCATGCGTGACAAAGGAATGACGATGTTGGATCATGATACGTATCGTAGAACTCACATATTCTTAAACTAAATACAGGTTGTATTCAAATTTCTAGCTTTACGACAGCGGCGTGGATAGAGTCGTCAGTCGCATGTACAGGATCGCGGTGCAATAAATTAGCACTCGAATGTTCCCACGAGCGAAACCGTATCAAGATGAGCCTCGAACAACGAAAGGAGGACAGCGAAATGCTTTATTTTCTCACTCGATTTATTCCGAGTGACATTCTCTTACGTTTTGTTCGATGTCATTCTAACGAACGTTGCGCTAACAGTGTTCTTCGTTGCTCTAATAGAAATACTATGGCTGCTTTTAGCTGCTTTGGCTTTAAATTGATATGTTAGGCAAATTGTATCTTTCGTTGTTTAAGTTACAAGAACCAATAGAATTGTTAACTATAATCGCGATTGTCACTTGGTTGTGATTGGATTAGGCAGGCCTGGACAAAATAACGAGATCCGGCTTTGATATCCGCATAATTGCGGATTAAAATATAAATATTAATCCGCAATTATGAAGAGCGGATTAATAGTTCGCGCCCAAAACTACCCTAGTTTTTGAATGGTTTTGAATTATCAAAAGGGTAACTTCTTTGGAAACCGAATCAGACTACAAGTTATAGATATTGAAACCTAGCTACTACTCTTAT